TACAACTGCAGATAGATTATTTGCTTTTTGGATAAAGAAAAATTCACATGTTATGGAATTTTACTGAGCTGAGGTTTCATTATTGACCCCTATTCTTTCCACTGTTGAACAGGCGATGGGATATTCATATTAGCTTAGATATTCTTGGTCACTGGTTGGATCTAATGAATATCGATGGATGGATTCCACGTGAACAAATATTAGGGGCCGAAGCTGTCAGGTGATTGCATGTTCAAATGCGTGATGCTAAATTACAGTGAACCTCTACTGAAGTATCTTCCACTTTCTTTCCTAATCTCATTGCAGTAAGGTCCCGGAAGAATTTATTCCTCAGTATCCAAGCAATGCAAACCCACCAGCACTATTTCTAGTCTTGCGTGGTATTTATATCTCAATTCCCTGTCATGGTATTCTGTGTATGGTTATTTTATCTCGCTCCCCAGCCCTCTCCTGCCTCCATCATCTTATTGTCACATCTATAGATATTAAAAGAAGAGACTTTCTTTCCAGAATTAGTGAGATAGACCATGGGTATACTGCTAGGAGTTTAAAAAAAAAATATATATATATATATATATATATATAATATTTGGGCAATAGAATAGAAAAACAGAAATTGTGATAGTGCCAAGGGTGTTGAGGGACATAGTAAGATGTAATTAAAGTTTCAAACTCCAATAATTTTTAAATGTATTTCTGATGGAGGAAAATTTGTTAACGATGCTGAGAATTCCTACTATGTCTGCTACATAAAGATACATTGTTTTGTAGATTAAGCACAAAAAGATACATTGTTTTGTAGATTAAGCACAAAACTCTGGAATTCTTCTTTCTTGTTTATTTATCTAAATAAGAGACGAGAAATGTTAATGATCATTGATCGAAGGGTTTGTAGAAGTGACATAATGCGAACCTTGCTAGCAATTCTTGGCTTGCTTATTTCTTGGAATCATATCTCATCGTCATATGGTTGCACATTCCCATTAACACTTGCTGTGTATTCAGAAATCTGGCATGCGTGGGTGCTGTGATTGTTTAACAAACTCTACATGTTCTGCTTCTGTATGTAATCTTGTAACCAGTGAATATGAACTTACTGTACACTGGTTATAGTATATTCTTGTGGTCTATAACATAAATTATCAAATAATTTGGTGGAATCTCTAGCTGCGATGTTGGTGATCAGGTTTATTTCTTCTTGTAGAATTGGTTCATGGCCTAAAGAAAAATGCATTTACAACGACAGAAAGCTCTGAGATCTCTTCATTCTTAGAGAGAGCTTTTGTCCGCTTAGAAGCTTGGTTCCAGTGGTTCAATACTACACAGCCAGGTGTCTGCATCTTGTGTTTTATTGTTTTTTCAGGCATTCAATGGTCCTTTAACTATGCTTGAGAACATATTAGTTATCGAGCCATTTGAAATTTCACTTTTTATCCTCCTGATTGACTGAAATATCATTTTGAGGAACACAGGGAAAGAGGCAAGCAGCTATTACTGGCATGGAAGAGACAGCTCTACAATTCGTGAACTTAACCCTAAGGTTTTTGTCATTCTGAACTCCTCTTCCTTTGCGCTACTCTGTTGGTCTTCTTTATCTTACCAACACGAATGTCGATTTATGAATTTTTCCATCATTAATGATTGATCTTTAGTAAGGCTATACATCAGAAGGTCAGTTATTTGGATGATCCCCACAAGAAGTCCTTGAGGCCTCCTCTTTCATTTAATCAATAAAATTTTTTCCTACCCGAGAAAAAGGAGCTTGGTCTTCATAAATAATCTGGGGTGATTTGGATTCTCGTGTCGGTATGTGGTGAGGTGAAAACATCTCTTCTTCTACGTGGTTATGGATTTTGTGGTTGTCATAATTCTGTTTCACCATTGGTTCTGGGAAGAACTAGGGAGTTCATTTTTAGTTCAATTATACAAAAGTAGAGTAAATAAAGTGTACTAAAGTAGATTAGTTGTGAAGGTGAGTTAAGTACATCTGTACTCATTCAGAGAAGACCATCAAAATTGGAGCTCCGCATTAGGGAAACAATTTGCAGGTCTTATAAGAGTGTGGAAATTTCTCTGAATCTTTGTCAGTGTTGCAGAAACATATTTCTCTAGGCTGTATCAAATAATGACTTTGAAATTTCTCTTTTATGCCTTAGTCAACAATATGCTAGACTTAACCAACAAAGGTTTATCTAAAATTTTCCACACCTGTAGACATTGATGTCTGGGTTGGATGATTATCCTCGTGCTTCGCACCCAACTGATGATGAGCGTCATGTGGACCTCCGATGCTGGATGCTTCTTGCTGCGGATTGCATGCATTCTATCTCGGAGCTAATCGTGAAGGGAAAGGAAGTTGGAATGGTAAGTTATTAACAGATATTAATTTAGTATCTCATATTTTCTTTTTTTAATATACCAATGAATTCATATTATGCAGGTTTATAGTTTAGCAGCAAAAACTCTTTCGGATTTTGAGCTTCTGAATCAGGTTGGTCGTCACTTTCATCTATGCTGGAAATGTATTTAAAATGTATATATAAAGATAATTACTTATGCTGGTTGTCTTTTTCTTAAGAAAATTTAAAATAGGAATAACTATTAAATTTAACTATGATTGATGCCTGACCAGATGCACTTCGATGATGCCCATGGAACTTATTTAGATTTTGGAAATCACACTGAAAAGGTATTGCCTCTGTACTATCATTGCCTTCACAATATGACTTCAATTAAGTTATCTCCTAGAAATCAACTCTTAATAGGTGGAATGGCTGTGTAAATACGAACTCTTAAAAATGTTCTCTTGTGATACTGTGTGTTTGAGTCCATTCTTGTGGTGCTTAATGCAAGGATTGGTTTCATGTAGGTTCGTTTAAGTTGGAAAGAGGTGATGGTAGAGCAGGGATATACAACCCGACAACTAATTCGGGAAGTATCGGGAACGCCACGACTGAGAATGGTTCCTCATATCGGTTACGTCAGTCTTTTTCCACTCATGGGGAGAATCATTCCACCTGTAAGATTTGGTAACATGGAGCCATTTCTGTGTTTATTTTTTCCAACGCTGGAAAGGCTTGAATTTTTCTGTTTCTTCTCCCCAACAGGAATCCTGGATTCTTGAAAAGCAACTTGATCTTATTTCAAATCGAAGCGTATTCTGGACAAATTATGGACTCCGTTCCCTATCTAAGACGAGGTACCTGTACTGTATCATAAATTCTGTTTGTTGACGGACCCAAGCTCTGCTGTGTTTTATGTGGGACTAATTTGGGGTCTTCAAAACTGCATGTTGTAGCTCATTATACATGAAGTACAATACAGAGCATGATGCACCATATTGGAGAGGTACAATTTGGATGAACATGAATTACTTAATTCTTTCAGCACTCAACCACTATGCCACAGGTATTTTCATTCCTTCACCTTTTATCAACCTCTTTGTTTTTTTCTTTAATGTCCTGACTGTGACCTGAATAACAGAGGATGGTCCGTATAGAGAAAGAGCCAAAGATATTCGTGACGAGTTGAGAAGCAATTTAATTAGGTAACTATTATGAGCCCGTACAATTAATCTTCCTTTTAATGTTGTTTTCGAAAGATCATGCTTTTTTACTATCATTTTCCTTCGTTAGCCGCTGTATGTATTCGTTTCATAGATATAGAAAGCTTATAGCTTCATTCATTGTTGGAGCAGAAATGTGGTTGGCAATTATCACAAGACTGGATTCGTCTGGGAACAGTATAATCAAAAGACGGGGAAGGGAAAAGGCGCACACCCATTTACTGGTTGGACATCTCTGGTGCTCTTAATCATGGCAGAAGCTTATGCAGAAAGTTAAAGATAAAGGGGAGCTTCAGATAGGTTCATATATATTATTGTTTAATCCCTCCTCTTCCTTTCACTCAAACATAATTTACGTACACACGGCTTGGAGCACATTAACTCAACTGGTTGCAGGTAACATTTTTGATAAATGGTATACATAAATCATCCAAATATTTAAAGTTAAGTTACAAATTGATTTAAATTTGAAGTTAGGAATTTAATTTTATGGTTTAAAAGTTCAAATTCATTACTATAATTTGATAAAGGTCTCAAATATCTTTGGACTATTTAATTAATTTATTAAGATGAAATTCGAACTCTTTAAATCATAAATACTAGATTTCCGATTTAAAATTCGATTACTTTTTCTTTCAATATAAAAAGAAAGCTGATGCCATCTGTTGTGTCATCTAATCTTAACGACTCTTGTTTATTATACGGGAACTTATTGAAAACTTTACTTTCAACAAATTTTCATATTGATTCTTGTATATTATTGAATTTAGTTTCTTATATTTAGAACGAAAAATGAAACTAAACCCTTTTAGAACATGTAATATAACTTGTATTATAGTTTGTATTGCTATTGAATACTAAATAGAGTTTTCAATTTTAAAATTAAAATATATATATATTTTGTAAAGCTTTGTTTCTTTAAAAAAAGCTTAAAATTATGATGGATTTTTTAACGAACGGGAAAAAGAAATACGTCCTTTGGAAAACAAAAATTTCAATATTACGTGAGATGCGAATTCAATTCACATAAAAATTTTGATGTCCCTTTAATTTAAGTCTGGCCTATATCAAGGTCCCTCAGCATTCGTGATGTTTGCACTTTCTCTAGATTTTGCCCCAGCCCCCAAATCCTTGGCCAGTTTGTGACCAAGCAAATTTCATTCCCACCAAAGTCCCTCGCATATAAACATACCTGACCTCGAAGGGTTGGGGTTAGTCACATAAGTATTATACCTAACAACTATGAACAACCTAAGTTTGAAATAATAAGAGGCCTAACATCCCCAAATGCAAGAGATTTTAAAAGTTATATTTGATGAATGTGAGAGTCAGTCACCTCACCTGACAAAGGAATAGATGAATCCAAGGCCTTGACGATGATAATGCTGGCAACGTTAAGAGACCCAACATAGCAACTGTTTCACGCTGCATAACGATTACAGTTCTCAGCCTTCAACACTGCATTGATTCAAAATCGCATGGGTATTAAGCAGTTCAAGTTGAACCTACCTTAACAAGGTACTGACCAACCAGCATCTCTCAAAACAGATGTCGGCCAGCAGTTCCAAAATTACTTGGGCAGTACATAAGAATTTTGAAAACGGATTTTAATTTTGCATTTTGGATGGAAAAATCATGCAAAGTATATGACAAAGCAAAACAATGGCTAGAAATGTGAATTCAATTCCCCCCTTTAACTCGGATCATCTGTCATCTCTTTGTCTTCAGCCATTATGATTTTCATGTCTCTAACGTCTCGCTTTAACACAGTTCCAAGTCTAGCAATGGCCTCCGTCTGCTGCTGCAAAACCTGACACAAAAAAGTAAATATAGATAAAGTTGGTTACTAAATTTACAATAATTTCCAGCAAAACTACAAGTGAGAAAGCAGACTTCAAATACAAATATGTTCTCACCTCCTGCATATCAGCAAGACTCTGTTCGTGTATTTTTGCAGATCCTTGAAGATAGATGGAATTACCAGCACCGGAGCCATTTGGTTGGCCACGAGTAATCATAAGCAAATTTTGCACCCTTCTTGAAAGCTCTGCCCCAGATTCTTTGAACTGAAAAGTGTCCAAGGATATCATTACGATGCAACTTTTCCCTAGTTATAGTTGTAATTATAATTTATGATGCCCCATTGATAATAATGTAGGGGCATGGCCTTTAAATGATATCTTTCAAATTTCATTACAGAATAATGACAATAATGCCATATTATAATAAACATTAAAAAAAGTGAAAGATAATCGTTATGTGATTACTAACATCTTTAAAATGAAAAATACGGCCTTGATTACTAACATCTTATATTTTGAAATAATTTATACGTTCAACAATTAGGATTAACTTGAATTTGGTATACCTAGAAAGAAATGTCCCACGAACTTCCCATGGGAAGGACAATCAATATCTCTTTTCGCATATAAAGTAAAAGGGGTGAATGATACCTACCTGCCTCGTTATCAAACTTAACTTCTCTGCCAATTCAGCCTCTCCTTTCATTACAGGCACTCGGCAACCCTTACTTTCTAGTGCCTCCACAATTCTCATGACCTTTAATTGAAGAAAAGGACAAATTAATACAGAAGCAATTTAGCATCAGTAGCCTTGTAAACTTACTTTATTTTTTGGGGTTGAGAAGGTGGGAGGGAAGGAAAACATGAAGATCACATACTCTCAAAAGACGCCTTTGAAGACCTTGCTCCTTCTGTTTCAATCTTTGAACCCATGGTAGAGTATCAGCTAGAAAGTGCCTCTGAAGCTGTATCCAGTATCTATTAGAAAAAGGAAATTTGAAATAAATCATTAAGGAAGCATAAGATTACCATTTTGACATTGCTTTGAGTCATCCGCAGCCTCTCAGCATCAGCGAGAATGACTTCATCTTGAATCTGCATTAACCCCACTGGAAGTCAGTGCAACAAACCAGGCTACTTCATTCAGCAAACACAAGGACGTGTGAAAAGGAACATTACTTAAAATGAGTAGAAAAGTATGCACAACAAAATAGTTTAAAAAAAAAACTAATGTCATTAAAATTTCAGATACCTTTAGTTGCATAAATTATTTTTATAAACCATAACTACAACAAAACAAATTCTCTATTTGACTGCTTTCAAGGACATTTCACTGGTTACCAAGGACTTTCACAAGGAATGCTGGAAGCACATGCAGATTATGCGACATTGATAACTCATGAATATTTTAAATTTACGCTCTCCACAACTTGAACATAAAGATAGTATTTATCCAAGAACATATTAACAATCTTAAATGAAAACATAAAACTAGTCAATAGGCTATTGCTCTTGTTTCACCAACATTGATGGATGGAATCAAAAACATAACTGGCATCCTATCAAATATAACTTGTGTTTTCTTACATCATAGTTTTAAATGTCAATAACATATGAACACAAGCTTCCACACCCTGCATTATCACTATTTGGAAGGGGAAAGAAAAAAACTACTTGTCGTGCATTAAGTACAGGCACATATGAGGCCGTGCACTGGAGACATTTGAAATTCACCATTATATATAGAAAGGAAAAAAAAAATATATCTAAGAACATTTACGAAAATCTTGCTCACTGTTGGAAGTATATTTTTCTAGTAATGCTTACTCTTTAGTGTATAGTTTTAATGAATTTATTTTTTCTTCATCGTCACAACCAAAAGTATAGTTTCATTTAAAAAACAATAAAAGAAGAGATATTACGTATTTAAATAAACTATAAAATTTAAGCCTAGTTCTAACAAATCGTTCAGTTAGTTCCTACAAAATCGTTTTTATTTTATTTAATAGTTATTACTTACATTAAAAATCATCAAAAATAACTTTTTAAGGGAAGCTATAATCATCAAACTTAATATTAATTTCAAACGCACCATTTTTCAATATTAAACATTAGAATATTGTGTAAATAGACAAATATTTCTTCACTTAAAATTCAATAAAATTCAAATAAATATAATACAGCGAATATAATAATTGAAATTGAAATAAGAATATTCTTAATATTGAGAAACAGGTGGACTAAGCATATAATTCAATATTCATCAGTGCCATTTCTCAAATGTAACTCATATCCATATATCCAGAACTCGAAGTATCGAATCAGATCCACAAGGTGAAAAAGAAGCTCATAGTTATAAATATATGGTTAAGGTTTTTTAAGAACACGCCTGCAAATCCACTACCGCTGATGGAGATAATGACAAATTTTGAATCTATAACAAAAGATATGCAAAATCCAAGAATTTCACGACGCATTTGGCAGGAAATTGAAATATCAAAGAATTTCACGGCACATTCGGCAGGAAATTGAATTATCAAAGAATTTCACGGCACACGGCAGGAAATTGAATTATCAAAGAATTTCACGCACATGTGTAAGTAATTTGAAATACCTTCAAGCGCTGAGATAAATCCTTAAAACCTTGAACAAGCTGTGGCCACAATCGCTCTCTATCCGCACTTTCCATGCCTTCTAGTTTTGCCATTGCCTCAGCCCACATTGTCTGGCAATGCAAACTACTATCCATACTAAGTGTAAATCCGACGCAAAAATTTCATACAAAGAGATAAAAAAATTCTTCAGACGTAAGAAATGCTATATATCGAACTCACATCCGATACACCTGCAGGCTTCGCCCTATATTGAGGATCAGTTACACTGAACAACAAATGCTGCAAAACAAACACAAGTATCAACTTAGGAACAACGGGAGATGATGAATACGTGACTTCCTAGAGCTCATTGAAAGCTTATCATATTCTTCCTCACGATTATCAACACTCAAGGGTTGGCGAGGATAAAAACAAAGACATTCCGTTTCCAGTCGAGAGCAGGGAAACGAACCTTGAAAGCATACTTAGGGTTTCCTGCGTCGTCCTTGTATGCCTCAACAATTGCCTGATGCAGACAATCAAAATAAAATAAATAGGCGAGGATGCAGTAAGATATAGGAGATATTACTAGTTCTTGCCGATTAGTTTCAGAAACGTACTTGAATATCTCGATCAGCCAGGCAGAAAGGAAGCGGTGCCACCGGCGCCATCTGAGTGATCAGTTGAGCATTTGGAAATGGACTGGACTGAGGCGCTGCAAACGGAGTCTGGAAACCGAATCCTGTGGCGCCTCGCTGCTGAAACAGCGGCGATTGCTGCTGTTGTGAAGGCTGAGAAGAGAATGGAGTGGAGAAGAGAGACGAACCGAAGCCGGTGGCAAAAGACGATGTAGATGGAGTTCCGAACGCAGGAGTTGAAAGGTTTCCAAATGCGGGAGATGCCGATGGAGTTCCGAAGGCAGGAGTGGACGACGGCGTGCCAAATGCTGGAGTCGATTGTGGAGTGCCAAATGCTGGAGTCGATTGTGGAGTGCCAAATGCCGGAGTTGTCTGCGGAGTGCCAAAGGCCGGAGTTGATTGTGGAGTGCCAAAGGCGGATGAGGACTGTTGAGCTCCGAACATTGTATATGCAGTGAAGCGTCGAAGAGGAACCCTAACGTCTCAAACCGAAATCGCCATTTGAGAGTCGAAACTTGAGCTCGAGGGAAATGCCTCTCTCAGGTTTTCAGAGTTGGGTTTAAGTGAGGATGGGAAGTAGTCTAGGGCATTGAATCATTTTGCCGCGAACTAATTGGGAACTGATTCAAAAGGTTTAAAAATGATCGGGGCGACCCGACGACCCGCCCCATTTTCAATTTATAAGAAATTTTGGAACTCATTTGGCAATTGCTTTGAAACAATAAAATGATCCGACGGTTGTGCTTAAAAGTATTTCTATTTCTGAAAATAAATTTAGTTTCCACAAGACTTCCAAAGAAGCTTTAAGAATTAAGAATTGTTGTTAAATAATTAGAACAAGATCGATAACATTGCACGGGTGATGCATATTGCCCACAGAATGTCACAATTGCCAGCGGAACAATAGTTATGCTACACTTGTTATAATCCAACGAATAAGTCAGCCGTAAAAATTCTACACTTCATGGACAACGTCGGCGTACGCAGAGTCATATTTGAGAGAAATGTTTTGAAAAATGTGAGCAATTAAATACGTGGAAAACAATTTGAAAAAAAACAATGTTATAAGTTAAAAGCAATTAGGCAACCGCGGCTTTGATAGCATATAACTTAGGGAGGAGAAAGAAACCACTAGTCGTATCCCCTATAATATAGTTAAAATTGTAGGTATGATTTTGGTAGACTGTCATTCACCTTCATATAGACACAACATGAAATACTAATGACATGTCTAAGATGAAAGCATGTAAAAGGGGTTAGAAACGAACATGCATCCATTGACAACACGTCTTAGACAAATCCGACATGTAGCCAAAGATAACACGCTTTGGACAAGCATGACTGTGATATAGAACAAACAGAAACTTGGGATACATCAAACTAACAACGTAAAACTCTAAACTTTTGTAACCTAACAATTTAGTCTCTGAAACCTTTTCGACGAAATCAATTTCATAAATTAATTACAAATATAAAGTCTAGAAGGATGGAATAAATTGTTACAATTTAGAAAAAAATAAAAATAAATAAAATCTTTGAACCGTTACAACGTAAAGCTGAATAACTAAATTACTTCATAAATCTAGTAATTCATTCCACTCTGTACTCAAAATTAGATCCCAAGCCACAAAGTCTTGTCACCTTAATACAATGACCATGGATGAATTCTACTCACAGGTCTCGTTATCATTGTTCGTGGGGAGGGATATGGAGTACGAACACCAAAAGATTTCCAACAGAGAGAATTTTTAATGAATGTTCAGTGCACGATTCAATTATAGCATTAGAAACATAGTTCATCGTAACACGTCAAGACCGTTACCTGCTCGAACTGCCAATATCAAACACTATTACAACCTCCTGTACTAACCACTGTGGTATTCTACAAAAACCTCACAAAGAGGTAATTGTTCAAAGCAAAACGAAAAAAAGTCACGTCCAAATAATAATTTCTGTATGAGAAATCCCTTCCTCATAGTCCTAGCCAAAAGACCTGCAACTTTCGTATCATATTGCTAGTAAAGCCATTAACTACCTAATGTTCTAGCTATGTAACTCAAGTGAGATAAATACACAATCTCCTGAATGAATCCAAAGGCCTTCAGTCCTTCGAAGAACTCCTAATTCACACAAAACATGTTGCAGAATAGCTTCAAAAACTCAAGCGCATAAGAGAGTACAAGAATGCCTAATTTCACAGTAATGTAGACTAACTTCATAGCAACTGCATAGGAATAATGTAAATTTCTGTGCCTCCCTGGATATGGTGTGTGGTAACTTAATTTGGTCTAGTCTAAGGCTCTTCACGTGTACATTACAAAATTTAGAATAACAAAAAAAATTGATAACCCGGTAAAGCAATTCTATTGCCTAAACCTCGTAAACTCGGTCTCTTTTCTTTCAATTGGTAAAAAAGAGAACGACTCAACAAATGAAAGAAATTCCGGGCCATTTATCTCCATGAGTTAACGTAGAAAAATTCTTCTAGCGGAGAAAAACCACTTTTCGAAAGGATCTAAAGGGAGTTCTCCAGGGTGAGCGCTGCCCAAAAACTTTCTGGATTCTCATTGGGAAAGACTCTTCCCCACGGGGAAGAACAGCAAACAAGAACTTATAATTATGACGATATGGACATGTTAATTATGATTTAATCTATTTTGACCATCAACAGAAAAACGCAAGGGAGCCCTCTCCAAGAAACCAAAGTCAAGCAATAGCCAAGGGCATGAAAGAAATGTCTTTCACAAAAACTTCAAAATTATAATTCTTATAAAGAGCGTATGTATTATCATTTCCGGGACATTCAGAAATCCAAAGATTCGAACTGTATGCTAATCCAAGAACAAGATCAATCAAACTGACCTACTTCTTCGTGGGTTTCTTCTTCAAAACCACCGGCTCTTGCGGCTGCGGCTTAGGGTATTTTTCAGCCACGCTAGGATCCAGCCATTTGAGGGGGTGGCGATTAAAGAAAGGCCAATTCGGAACAGTGATTAGTGTGGTAAGAACCACACCGCAAGCATAAACCAACATCATCATCCGAAACGATTCCATAACATAGCCTGTCAAAAAGGCCACCACCGCAAAAGCAACCAACATAATCTGCATCATCTGCTCCGCTAGCTTTTGCCCTTGCCAATCCATCTAAAACATGGAAGATTAGAAGATAATCGTCAGATCCAAATCGGCAGGAGGCGTAAGAACATCAATGAACAAAGATCAGTGAGTACTCCATAGAAAGATTTAACTATAATGAAAAGCCCTACATATACTGAAAATTGGAAATCCTTGGCGCTATGAACAAAGATTTAAAAATATAAAAATAAAGCAAGAATGAATTCGAGAACTGAGAGATGAGAGAGAGCAGTAACCTGAAGGCGAATTTGTTGACCGATGGGGAATGACTAGCGGGAGGAAATTAGAATATGACAATTGCTTTGAGGAATCAGACGAAGAACGCAGAGCGGTATGTATTTACCGGTTCTGATTCGGAAGAATTGAGACGTAAGATCTCGGCCGTCCAATCGATCCCCGCATCTACACGACCGTACAAACAGTAAATAATAGTAATTAATTAGGATGGATAACAAAAATAATTATAATTACTTTTATATTTCATAAATATTTCAAAATTACGATTACTTTAATTAAATAACAACTAAGGAAAAATAGCATTTGGTTTTATAATTTTGTAAAATTGAAGGATTTCGTGTTCTTCCATATCTCATACTAGCTTGATTCATGATTCACTTATTAATATAAATTAGAATAAATTTATATATATCATTAATTCAATCTCTTTCCAAGTTGGTTATGTATTGGTATTAAAATTTATAGCAACAAAGACCGCCGTTCGATCTAAAACCATAACCTAACATAACCAAACCAAATTCAATACTAGAAACTGATAAATAAATTATTAAAAAATTATTAACTGCCATCCCCGGTTCGAACCACAACTACCGTAGGTAAATTGAACCCGACACAGAAAGTTAAAGAAGTCTCGATTTACTTAAAAGGAATGAATATCCAAAATTTATAAAAGAATTCCCAACATAACGAACACGATCCCGATGATACCATAAACTACAAGATTAGGGGGGAATGGATACGGAAGAATTCATCTATAGAATGATGAGTATCAAAATTCTGTTTTAAAAACAAATAATGCAGTAATTATATTGATCAGGATGAAGCACCACTGCGGAGAGCTTGAGATTTTTTGGATTTACTCGTTGCCAACTGGGTCTCAGGCTGCAACAAGATAAAGAAGAGTTCAACAAGAAGCTCAAAACCGTATATATAATATAAATTGCGTTAAATTCTGATCCAGATTTTACCTCTTTCTTGACGGGCTCTTTCTTTTCTGATAAAATAAGCTCAATGTGGCATGGGGATGACATATAGGCTGCAAAACAAAATATCAAATTCAATAACGTATGGTCTGTAATGTTCTAACGAATAGAGTTTTATTTGGAATCTTAGAAACCATACGGTTAATTCTTCCGTGAGCTCGGTATGTGCGACGCCTTTGCTTCTGTGCTTGGTTCACCTGAATGTGGGATATGATGAGAGAATCGACGTCCAGTCCTTTCACCTGAATGAAGATTTACCATGTTCAGAATTCAACGAGACTTAAACTCAGGAGATCCATAAGCAACTAAGTAGGGGTGGGGTGGTAATACATACTTCAGCGTTACTCTCAGCATTCCTGAGAAGATCTAGAATAAATTTTGCAGATTTAACAGGCCAGCGTCCTTGTCCATTTGAATGCCTATTTTTTGCCTGTGCAGTTCGTCCGACACCTCCACAGAAACGTCGGAACGGAATAGCCTGCTTGTGGGCAAGAACATCCTCCAAGTACCTTTTTGCCTTGACCAAGGGCAGCTTTCTGAGGGCATGTGCAGTCTCTCGTGTATTCTATAAACACGAAAACAGATCATCAATTCAGTAATTTAACAATGATGAACCCTTTGAAAGAGCCAACTGAACCATTTGATAGACCAAGACTTAAATACTATATTTCAAACAAATTAGTAAAGCAATTCAGATGCCAGAGACTATAATCTTTTACAATAAAATAATTTGAAAAATGGGGACGCTGACATTTAAACTTTGATCTACATTTGTTACACTAGATATATTATGTTTGTGTAGCATCATTTACTGAACCTTTAGCAACCAGCTTTACAGAGGTTCACCCAATAACGATGCACTCAGTTTCCCTGAATTTAACGAGGACACCATTCACAGAAGGCAAGAGAGCCCTGCTTTTTTAATCAGGTAATTTAACCACAACCTTTCTTATAATTCCAAGTAAATGAAACAATAACAATAGAACATGCTATAACACAAATGTGGCACCATTTACTCAACCGTCAAGCAACTATTTCTACAGAGGTTCACCCAATAACAATGCACTTTGTTTCCCTGAAGTTTACGAGAGCCCTGCTTTTTTCAACAGGTTACAGACAAGGGCAGATTCAGAAAATCACACTTAAATGAAGCAATGGAATACTATTCTCCACATATTATGGAGAACGGAATATATATTACTAATAAAAAGTTACTCCAAAAAAAAAAATTAATCACACTGACCATGATGAAAGCACATAAGCAATAGCAGACTCTCTAAGGACCATCAATCTTTCTTTATATGAACTTACTGACCACGATGAAAGCACATAAGCAATAGCAGACTCTCTAAGGACCATCAATCTTTCTTTATATGAACTTACTGACCATGATGAAAGCACATAAGCAATAGCAGACTCTCTAAGGACCATCAATCTTTCTTTATATGAACTTACTGATAGTATATGAAAAATACTACAGACTATGTAGCATCATTTACTGAACCTTCAGCAAATAGTTCTACAGAGGTTCACCCAATAACAATACAATCAGTTTCCCTGACGTTTACGAGAGTACTATTCACAAAATAACCAACAGAACCCTGCTTTTTACATCAGGTTGGTAACAAGAAATCTCATATAATCACCACATTCACACCATCCAAGTTACATTACTGTAAATTATCTATCTTGCACGTCCAATCCAAAAATAACCAATCAGATATATATTATCACAGAAAACTACAAATTATGTGGCATCATTTACTGAACCATCAGCAATTATCTATACATAGGTTCACCCAATAATGATACATTCGATATTCCTGAAGTTTACAAGGGCACTATTCACTATATAGGCAACAGAACCCTGCTTTTTTCATCAGGTTCGTAACAAGAAATCTCATATAATCACTACACTCACGATGTCAATTTATATTACTGTAAATTATCTATCTTGCATGCACAATCCAAAAATAAACAATCAAATATATATTAACATAGGAACTACAAAGATTATGTAGCATCATTTACTGAACCATCAGCAATTATCTATACATAGGTTCACCCAATAATGATACATTCGATATTCCTGAAATTTACAAGGGCAATATTCACGATATAGGCAACAAAACCCTGCTTTTTTCATCAGGTTCGGAACAATAAATCTCATATAATCACAACACTCATTACGTCAAGTTATATATTACTGTAAATTATCTATCTTGCATGCGCAATCCAAAAATAAACAATCAAATATATATTAACACAGGAACTACAAAGATTATATAGCATCATTTACTGAACCATCAGCAATTATCTGTACATAGGTTCACCCAATAATGATTCATTCGATTTTCCTGAAGTTTACGAGAGCACTGTTCATAAAATAGGCAACAGAGCCCTGCTTTTTTCATCAGGTTGTTCACAGGCAGTCTTGTATGATCAGCACAACTAGTTACTTAAGTACACAATTAAGTAGTGTGTACGGCATTACTCACAATAAATAAAAAAAGTAACCACAAAATATTTACAAATTATACAGATTCAATGAAATGTCAATTAAATGAGTAACGCATTGAAAACCTATAAACTTTGCACTAAGCTGACGGGCTTGGCGAAATGGAAAAATCAATGAAAGGATAAAACAGATAAAGCTCCTAAGCTACCTTGAAATGGACTCTGAGATCGGAGCCTCGTGCTTTGCAAGCTGAGCAGAAATAAGAAGACAAGTATTAGATTACGTACTTATAACATCACTCGAAAACTTCAAACTAGTGAAAAACTAAGAACTGCATGACGAAAAAATCATATGATACAAACAAGAATACAATAAGAGAAGAATAAACTTACACTCAGTGTGGTTGTCCGGCTCCCTTGAGTACTTAACCTGTTAAAAAGAACATGAATATCCAACTGAATTCAGATACTTACTGAGAGTGAAGAATCATAAGCATTGAACAGATATTAAGAGGTGAAAAATGAGGTCGAAGATCTAGAAGAGGCACGGTACCATGGCGGGTGATGCTAATTCTTTGTTGTTCTGATGCCGACTTGAGTACCGCCAGCGACAAGAGAATTGGGTAGAAGAGTTTCGAGTCACTTATAGTAAAAAGGAAACCCTAATCTTGAACCATTGAACCACTGAACCATGTGGACTTCTTATTTGGGCTGGGCTTAAAAGGCCCACTATCATCTTTCCTCTGTCCAATATTTTATAAAAATTATAATTTGTGGGGTTATTGACAAAAATAGCCCCTTTTGAGTTTGTATTATGGCAAATGACTGCTTTTGACCCTCAACTTCTAGATTACATGTGAAATTACTTATTTATTATACATATTAAATTAATAACTAATATCTAATAAATTTTAAATTTTAAATATTTACGGATTAAAACATATTATTAATATGTATCATTAATACGAGTTACCATCTAAATATTTTAATATTTTTATAATTAAAGTAATGTTAAATGGTAACTCTATTTTTTTTGGTCGATTGAGTTGACTTAATCAAAACATGTCATTCCTTACATCAAATCACATTTTCGTTTTTTCAAAAATTCAACTCAAGCCAACTTTGTTTGAGCTCGATAAGTTAATTGTGTATGATTCAGTGATAGCATTGACTCATTCAACTACACCTTGTGTGCATTGAAATAACCAAACCTATCGTTGAACATGAACACCTTCTAAGTATTTTTGGTGCACCTAAATATTCTCAAAGTTAATCCCAATACCCATCAAATTCCGACAATTCATTTAAATGGTGCAATCCTATCAATCGGACACTAAGCGTATGCAACGCTCTTGCACGTTCAATTTAAACTATTCCTAGATTCTCAAATGCATCGAGTCGACTTCTAGGTATTTATCTTATTTGGAAAAATGGTAAATTAAATGTTTTTTTTTTCTTTCCAAATTTGATGCCAACATTGTTTGACCAGTAGGTAGCCTGTCTAATTATTTAATTGATTATGACAGACAATATCCAACACATATCACTCTTTGCCTCTTAAATCAATGTTAGTATTGACGGGTAATAATTCACAATTTATAATAATTATAATTCATTAGAAGTCAAACAATAATTTAAAATATCTTCAAATTTGTAACTTCCAATATTATACTTAATAAATTTTCATACATATTTTTAAAATTGTAGAGAATAATTAAAAATAAGTTAAATATATTTTGATTTGATCGAAATAATTTAATTGAAATTTTTTTTATTAAAAATTTGTGTTAAGTTTTTTTTATATAACTACTCGGTAGTCTATAAAAATATCATACAAATAATTTAATTCATGACATATTTTCTTGGGATTAAAATTAAATATGGCCCAATTTAAAATAAAATTTGTTATAAAATTAAAATTATATTTTAGATACTAAAAACAATTTTTTAATTTATACGAATTTCGTAAGGTTAGAAAACATAAAACACATAATTCCAAACGATTTGGAATCTCAATTGGATGATACGTATCAACTAACAACCATTAACAAAAGGGTCACAGCGGTCACGTGCACGTGAACAGGGAGCAAGGCCACGTGGCGTCGGTGGCATTCATGAGTACATAACTACCGTCGCTGTGTTCTCGTGTTTTGTTATACCTCCGTTTTTCATGTCTCCTTGGATGCTTCCGGTCGGGGCATTTTTCGGACAGATTCCCTTGTGGTGGGTAAAAAATCACCCAATAATTCAACATCTTTTCCCATCAATAATAATCCATTTAAATTTCACATAAAAATTAAAAATATTAGCCTAAATTTATAAATACTTGTATTTTATCAAATATATATATAAACTTTTATAAATTTTAATTTAAAAAATAATTAAAAAAATTATGTTATCGTTAATCTTAAATGGAAACCTATAGCATTTTGTTTAAAAAGTATTGTTACCAATACCATGATTATAAAATATCATAAACATTTAAAAATAATATTAACCCTTTTAACATTTATGTTAAAAAAAATTAAAAAAGTTATTACTAAAATAGAGTGTTTGTCTAAATACATTAAACTTATTATTTTATGAAAGTATTTAATTATAAATTTTTAAAAACTAAGAACGAAAATAAAATCATGGAAATCAATAATTATATTTAAGATTAAAATTTAATTTTGATTAAATACTTAGTTCTATCTTAATATTTTAAAATGTTAAAATTCAGTTCATTTAATAAATCTAAAATTTACTCTTTATTAGTTTATTTGTTGATTTTTGGAAAAATAAAATTTAATATGCAATAGTATTATCTTTATAAATTTTAAAAATAAATTTGTATTCATGGGAATTAAAATATTATTAATATTTAGCTAACTTTAAAAAATTCCATTTAAAAGAATTAAATTTAGTATTTAATTGAAGTACTTCAATAAGATTTATATTAAATTTGGATTATGGAAAGTACAAATATTAAAAGAAAATAACATTTAAAATACCGGATTTAAATTTAAAATTCCCGTATTGTTGGAAGAAAAAAAAAACGGTCTTAAGAGAGCAAAATAGAAATGGTTCACCCGCGAGAGCAATAGAATGAGAAAGAGAGAACCCTTGGTCTCATAATCTCATTTCAGTTGCGGTGATTCGGATGATAAGCGTCGGAGAAGAGAACTGAGAGTTGGAGGAATCGGAGAATTACAGAGATTATTCGGTGCTGAGATGAGCTTAGTCAACACTCACAGAAGCTGCGCGCCAATTCGTTCACTCTCTCCTGCTTCATCCTCCATTTCCCGCTGCGCTCACACTTCCTCCGCTGGTAATGCTCTCTCCATCCTTCTCGCAACGCCTGGTCTCTTTTTGCTGTTGTTTACCTTTGTCATCGTCCCATCTTTAGCCGTTACTGCAAGCAGTTGTGCTAGAATAGAATGAAAACGTTTGCTGTCGTTTCTCAAATCGCCTAATCACAACTCATGAAGTACTTTACCGAACGGATGTGTAAAGTTGATTCAAATTGTATTTCATTCTTCGTATTTTTCGAGTCTTTCAGGAATACTGTAGTTAAGTGGCTAATTCGTAACTTAATTAGAGAAATCACGATCATACTACATCGCGCTGTAGAACAAAAGAACAAAGGACACGGGTTTGATAATAATGTGATGAAATGAGACTTCTGAGTTATTCAGTGATATCTCATAGTGATAAGAGGAACGGACATCTATATATCTTTACATTAGTATGATAATATCTACTTTGGTATAAACCCTCGTACAGTTGCTTTTTTAACCACCCAAAATTTTTGGTACTAATGAAGATAATTTGTCTCAATTAGTGTAACAGTTCAAACCCACCACTAGTAGATATTGTCTGCTTTGGTCCGTTACGTATCGTTGTCAGCCTCACGATTTTAATAAGCGTTATAAGAGGTTGACGGTGATACGTAACAGGCTAAAACAGACAATATCTGCTAGCAGTAGGCTTGGACTATTACAAATGGTATCAAAGTCAGTCACCAGGCGGTGTGCCAGTGAGGATGCTGGCCCTCAAGGGGGTGGATTGTGAGATCTCATGTCGGTTAGAGAGGGGAATGAAATATTCCATATAAAGGTGTGGAAATCTCTCCCTAGCAGATGTGTTTTAAAATCGTGAGGCTGACGGCGACACGTAACAGGCCAAAGTGGACAAGATCTACAAGCAATGAGCTTATGGTATCAGAGCTAGTCACCGAGCAGTGTGCCAGCGAGGATGCTGGGCCTCCAAGGGGGGTGGATTGTGAGATCCCACATCGATTGGAAAGGGGAACAAACATTCCTTATAAATGTGTGGAAACCTCTCCCTAGCAAACATATTTTAAAATCATAAGGCTGACGACGATAAGCAACGGGCCAAAGCGGACAACATTTACGAGTAGTGGGCTTGAGTAATGAATCTCTCTTTTCCCTAACCAACCCCTTGGCTCTACACTGGCGTCAATTGTGCCAGAAATGGAACCAATAGGAGAAGGTTCATTATCTATTTAGGGTGGAATCAACATGTTCATTTAGCAATTGCTATTTTGGATCCTTTAGGAATATACTTACATGTATGCCATTCTAAACGATCCCTTCTCATTCTTAAATGTATGTTCCCTGGTTAACTCGTTTTAAGATGCATTAAAATTAGCCTTCTTTGGGAATTACTGCAAGTTTCAGTCAGATGCACGCAACACAACCATAACTGATATAGTGGTTTTTTCTCTATAAGACTGGATGCTAATATAATTTTTTACTGCCTTGGGAATTACCATATTGTTGTCATGGCATATAACCTTGATAAATAAGAAGTCATCCTCCACGAGCATAGTAAAATCATCAGGAGTGGTTCCTACTTAAGCTGCTGTTATATATGGCTTTTCTCTAAGTGTGATTCACAAGTCAAGTTATTTTATGGTTTGTTTCAGTCAGGATTAAAGGACATCAAGCATGTATTGGCTGATATAGTGACAATAGTTTCATGACTGAGGTTAAATTTGAATCTCGATGGTTTAACGTGCAGATCATGTGACGTGTGGAACACCAATTTGGATTGGGAAGGGAATCACTTGCATTTGCTTCAAGCGGAAGGGAACTTTTGAACGAGTTTGTATCAACCTGACTCCAGTACAGGCAAGTAAATAATAAAAAAAAAACTTCCAAATTGATTGGAGTAAGAAGGGGAAATAGTTGAGAAATAAACCACAAAGTTACCACTTCCATCGTGGGCGTAATTCTTGATGAATTTATATTGATCCTTGACATTCTGAATCTAGTTTGTACTGTGAGTTCCTTAACTTGATGAAAATCATTGTATTGCTAATATCCTTAGAATAACATTTACATTCATGATCTCAGGAAGATAGGTTAAGAAGATTAAAGCAGCGCATGAAGGTCTACTTTGATGGTTCAAGAATCGACCACCAGGTTTGCTTATTTCTATTCTGAAATTTGATGCCTAAGTTTAAGTTTTGTTGAGATTGTTGGGAGGGATTCCTACGTCAGCTAATTAAAGAGATGATCATAGGTTTATAAGTAAGAAATATATCTCTATTGGTATGAGGTTTTTCGAGAAAACCAAAAGCAAAGCCATGAGAGCTTATACTCAAAATGGACAATATCATACCATTGTGGAGGTCTGTGATTACTAGCACGGTATCAGAGCCATGCCTTTAACTTAACTATGTCAATAAAATTCTTTAGTGTCGAACAAAGAAGTTATGAGCCTCAAATGTGTAGTCAAAATTGACTCAAGTGTCGAACAAATGGTGTACTTTGTTCGAGGGCTCTAGAGAAGGAGTCGAGCCTCAATTAAGGGGAGACTATTCGAGAGCTCCATAGCCCTGATGGGAGGCTTATGGTGTACTTTGTTCGAGGAGAGAATTGTTGGGAGGAAGTCCCACGTCGGCTAATGGCTTCTAATGTCATTTTTCAAAATCATTATGTTATTACATTTACGTGTACACCTTGCTTTCTAGAATACTTATTATGAAAATTTCACCAATAACAGGAGGCTTTAAGAGCTCTGTGGTATGCAGCATACCCTGATCAAGAGCTTCAGGCGTTGGTATCAGATCAATGGAAAGAAATGGGATGGCAGGGAAGAGACCCATCAACTGATTTTAGGTTGTTATCTCATGTATTACCTTTTGTCATGTTATCTCCTTTTCATTGCTCTGAAAAGCTTTTACCTAACCCAGAGGAGCTGGATTTATCTCTTTGGAGAATTTGTTGTTCTTTGCAAAGACGTTCTCAGTAAGATCTCAAACTTCATTTCACTCATTTAAATTTTTAGTTTATTTTCACCTGATAGGGCCAAAGAGTTTATGAACTTGGTAAAAAACTCTCCATGGGTCTCATTGGGAGATCTCACATTGGTTGGGGAGGAGAATGGAGCATTTTTTATGAGGGTGTGAAAATCTCTCCCTAGCAAACGCATTGTAAAAATCTTGAGGGGAAGCCTGAAAGGAAAAGTCAAAAGAGGACAATATCTGCTAGAGGTGAACTTGGATTGTTACAAATGGTATCAGAGCCGGTCATTAAACGGTGCGAAACACTGGTCAGAGTAGGGCTAGACCCTCTCTAGAGTAGATGCGTTTTAAAACCTTGAAGGGAAGCTCGAAAAGAAAAGTCCAAAGAGAACAATATCCGCTAGCAGTAGACTTGGGCGGTTACACTAGTAACATCTTATCATGCTTTCACTAATCCTACTTGTCCCTTTACATTTCAGACATCTTTCCAACGTCTATTGAGAAAACAAGGAGGAAAGCCAGCAGTGTGGGAATATCCCTTTGCTGTTGCTGGTGTAAACATCACATTTATGCTAATGCAAATGCTTGATCTTGATGTTTGTGAGTATCAAATCCATTTATGCATACTCGTCGAAAGCTCGAGAGACCTTACAATCTTTATACGATACATACGTTACTCCTCTCATTTCTAATCAATTTAATGCAGCAAAACCAAGGACCTTTATCAGATCAGTTTTCCTACAGATGTTATCAGGTAAATCTCAAAACTTAATCCTGCAACATATCAAGTTTGAATTTACTTATCATATGGTATTTTCTGCTAAACAGAGAATGAATGGGCATTTGACCTGCTTTACTGCGTGGCCTTCGTTGTTATGGACAAACAATGGCTGGAAAGAAATGCTACCTACATGGAGTTCAATGTAAGAATAAATATGATACCCTTCAAGATTTGATGCCTTTAAAAACAGAAAAACATTTCACTCTGCAAACAGAGGTTAGTAAAAATGAGATAAATAATCAAATTATCTGTTTGTGGTAGGATGTGTTGAAGTCCACCAGAGCTCAATTGGAGAAAGAACTTTTAATGGAGGATGTGTTGCGGATTGAAGATATGCCTTCTTACAACCTTCTTCTAACATTGGATTACAGTTAGAATAATCTGTCACACTAATTCTTATTTGTTTATTTTGATGATATTAGCATCGAGGGAACAAAATTAAAAAATATATAGAAGAAAAAAAAAAAAAAAAAAAACTGTAGAACCCTAAGAAATACTAGTGCCTAAGTTACTTGATGTTCTTTGGATTGTTACAAATTTCAGTATAGGTAGATGATGATATGTTGTGGCCATGCCACTGATTATGCTGATGCTATTGTTATTATTATTAATTTTAGTCTCGGTATTGCCAACTTCTATATTTAAGGGATGGATGAATCTTTTTCGTAGTAGTTCTCACTTCCCATTTTAGTACCAAATAAGAAAGTAAAAAAATAATTTGAAATAAAACAAAATAAAAGTTGGTATTTATAGAAGTTACCATTCAAGTAAAAAAATGGAATATTTACCTTGTACCCTTGACTTTTTAACTCCGTTCTTTCTTTCTCGGGGTATTCCTTGAAGAAAGAGTTTCTCTTTTGAGTATTTTTCTTAGAGATAAAATCTCTACTGAGAAATTTGTTGTCACTTAGAAAACTCATTTGAAATAATATTTATCTAGTTCTTAAAGATAGAACGAGTATCCACATCTGTTTGAGTAGAAGATTTTAAGCCTTCCTCGTTATGGGTTGATGTTATCTCTTGATTAGAATCAACCGATTTTGCTCTTAATGAGTTGGCTTGGTTGATAATTTATGTTCAATCTTGAACTCATAAATTCCTTTACTCTTGGAAACGAGGTATTGTCTTCACTAAATTTAACTTCGACACTTTCGTCATCATGTTTGATGATTCGAGTCGGTTGGAAGTCTCTTCTCAATGAGGGACTCGTATATTCAAGATTTCAGGTGAAATTCTTGGTAATTTGATCTCATGAAAGGGTCTTTGATGTTAAGGTTTTTAAAGAACATGTGGATGCAACAGAGTAGCCCAAAACGTAAATGGGCCTGGCCCAGATAGGTATGATGGGCTTTTAATAGCCCAGATATACTTTATTGAATAAAGAGGTCGGAGATTTGGAGTTATAATATTATAATATTTTTCAAAATACGTCACGTTTATTCTTAAAGAATATTCATTCATAAAAGAATATTTAATATATAAAGAATAAATGTAGGATCCTCTTAATTTTATAAACTTGGTTTAAGTAATTTAAAATACTGTGGTCCAAACCGACCATAAACAGTACGGATTTGGACCGTGAATCTCATCTGTCGCCACGTGTCCTTCTGGAAACATCTACTGGAATATGGAATCACCGCAAAATTACCTCTTCCCATCCTGTCTGCTTTCTCCAACTCCAACAAATCCTTAGCCAAGAATAAGATTCTCCTAAAACCATGCGATCATGGGCCCCACCATTCGCGTATTCTTACCTTAACCGTTGGATGAGCGGCCGACGAAAAATCCAACGAACAGAACGCGGCAAATTACGCTAACGAATGGTCATTGTATAAAATACAAATTCAAGCCTTTTTGATCATCGTTTTCTTGCAAGCGAAGGGAATAGTGGAGTAGCAAATTTCCGGAGCACATCACCGTAAGGCTGTTGAATCTCTTTGTGTGTGCGGATAAAGTTTTGTTATCATTTGTTTTTCTTTTTGTCTACGCAAGCAATCGCGGTCTTGATCGATCGGAATTAACAGATGGAGAACGAAAGGCAGAATCTAGAGCTGAAGCATCTAGGTTTTGTTAGGATCGCTGTGATTCAGACGATTGTATGTGTTACGAATCTGTATGATTACGCGAAGCAGAACTCCGGACCTCTGAGATCTGCGGTTGAAAGTGTGGAGAGCGCTGTTAACACAGTTGTAGCTCCTGCCTACGAGAAGCTCCGAATCGCACCTGATGATGTTCTTGTTTTTCTTGACGAGAAGGTATTCTTTGTTTTCTTTAATCGTTTGGACTCTTTAGATGACTTTCTTGGATCAGTATGTATATTAATTTTCAGATTGTTTTCTGCGATTCAATCGATTGTCGGACGAAGATCGTTCTGGCTGGTGATTGATTAGATGGAGATGTTTTGCATTCCAGATTTTTATTCACTAAATCCAACTCTGGAATCTTGATTACTACGATGAATTTAGTTCTCCAACCTTCTATATGATGAGAATCATCGGGAAATTATTTTACCTTGAAATAAAATTAATTAAACCCAAGTGTCTCCGATTGGCCGACTGAAGTACAATTCATATATGATCATACCTGGTAGATACGGTTGAAATTTGAGTTTCAACGATCTATACAGGAAAAAATTGCGTTTAAATCTATTTCAGACCAGTGTAGAATGAATGAGTTTATGGCAGAGTGTGCGTTTTTTTCCCGGTCCTTTCCACGGAAGAAGATCAGTGAAGATGAAATGGTGAATTCGTTCGTAATTTATTCGAGGGACTATTAGAGTCTACAGTAAACATTATGCGTTCTCTGGGATAATGATTCCTGGCTGAAATGAACATTTCTAATCATGGTGGGAAGTTTGTTGCAGGTTGACAAAGCGACACATGAGTTTGATAAACGTGCCCCTCCTCTGGCAAAACAAGCCGTTCAAATCACGCAGCATTGTATCCAAAAAGCTGCTCGAACTGGGCAAGAACTTGTGAATGAGTTTCAAACAAGCGGACCACGCGCAGCGTTTTACTATGCAGCGAACGGGTACAAGCAGTTGGTTCTAACCCAAGGAGTGAAGGTTTGGGCATGTCTCAACCGGCTTCCATCGTTCCACAAGTTCGCAGACATGGCAGTCCCAACTGCGGCTCAGTGGTTGGAGTGGTACAACTGCAAGGTGAAAGGTATGAGGCAGAAGGGCTACCACGTCTTTGACTATTGTCCTGAAGTTCCTCTGAGTGAGATAGCTGAGGCATTTAAGCAGGGCGAGGCCAAGAAGAAAGAAGCACCTCCAACTACTCCTGAACAAGCTCCACCGAAGAACAAACCGGGTTCAGATTCCGATTCTGAATCCGAATCCGAATCTGAGTCGGTTTCGGTTCCAAACTAGAATAGGGTTTTTAGTTTCAATACCTAATCACCTGGTTTGCAAGAGTTATATGGTTCATGTTCATGATGTTGATATGGGACTAGCTCAATGTTTGTATACAGTTTGGACAAATAATTGAAGTTTTAGTTTCCGTGTGCGTGGAGGAAGGATAATAAAATCAGTTATGTCTAGCTAAAACGTGGAGACACGAGTGATGGACGCAACACAATGCTGGCCTCAAGAACTAGTGAGCAAAGGGATTCAACCACATCTGCTTTATTTATAAATTGAAGTTTCTGGCTTTTTAGGAACGACAGTACCTTTAGTTCCCTCCCTACAAAAAGCTATTATTGTTTGTTCTTAATAATTAAGATTTTTCGTGACTCGACTCATGACTCGTTTTCAAAATATGACAAACATTTTATGCATCTAGTCTAGAGAAATGAAAATGAAGGTAGAACGAAAGGCGGCATCATAAGTGCATCAAGAGTGAGTGTCGTGTCGACAAGGCAGTTGTTTTGACAAAATATTCTCCCACTATCTATTTCTCATTTTTTTCCATCCTTTCCGCACCTTTGAAGGTTGATTTTCGATATGGTATGCTGTACGTGTCAAAAGTGGAAATGGAGGAGTTGAGGAGTTGATGAAGAACTAGAAGGCCTCTCTCTAGGACAGCCTCATTCTTCTTTTATCTTATCCTCCACGGGTTCTAATAGTGGGGCAATCCACCATTTCATTGGAATCAAGTTTTTCCTCAAATGAGTACTCCTCCTCACACCAATCCATCAGGTTGAGCTCTCGGGAGCTATGATAGTTTGCAACAAATTTGAACCGTATCAGGTGATATAAGGATATAAATAATGAAAAATGCATCATTAGAAAAACAATGTGCTCAAATTCACCAGCTTGAAATATATCTTATGAGCTAAAAAGCACGTTTATTCCAGCACCAAAATCTCCGTTTGACAATACAAACCACAAGGTACTTCTCCAGTTTAAACAACAACAAAATAAACGTTCAAACAATTGCTTGGGAGCTTCCCAGATTCCACCACAGATTTCAGAGCTACCAAACATCCTGCAAAGTATTTCAAGAACAACAACATCAGGGGGATCTATCTATTGCTATATCTCTCCAAAAGCCCAGAAGTTTTCAAGTTTCAATCAGTTCTCTAAATCAATCAAATTGGATAGGAAAAATGCACAGAAACAGAACCTTTACTTATCACTTGGAGTTATTGTTGATGTCCGTAAGCAAATCATCGTAAGGATCCCTCCTACCAGGAACCTGGCTAATTTGTGCGTCCCACCGCAGCTGACAATTGTGGCGCTCAAATGTCCAAAATCCGTAAGGACGGATCGGATAGCTCCACATCTCCTTCGTCTTTTGGCATCGATCCTTCACCGCGTACACGTGCTCTCGGAACTTCCGATCCCTCTCTTTTGGATCCTCCATAAGTCTTAGTACCAAATTCTCAGCAAACTCCATGATGAACTTCATTTCTAGTATATTCCACAGATATTAACGAATCAAACGGGGAAAAAACGCCGAATAAACAATCATTGAACATGAAATTCACTTAATATCATGGTTTCCGCTCAAGAAAATCAAAGAACATAGCTGAATCAGATACAATCATGATCTCTCCAAATCTTCTTTCCGAGATTAGCTAAGAAACAAACCCGATCGACAAATCCTCCAGTGAAAGCCCTAAGTTTATTCAACAACAAAAATTGGAAAGATTTTGAAGAAAATTTCCGAATTCAATTCACCTACGATAAGAAATCAACATGAATCGAAAGCTTACCTCGAAAATCGATTGCAGGAATTAAGATTTCTTCCTCAGTAAATATCAGCCAGCAGTTCGCCGTTCGCCCCCCGTAGGAATGTACTCGTAGGAATGTACTCGAAAGAATGAGCAGAATACAAGAACGCCCAGTATTTTCATTAGAGACATTACCAGGCCCAAATTCAATTAAGCTTCAGGCCCAAAGGCCCAAATTCTCTGGACCTTGGACAACCTCTGGCAAGGCCCATTTAATGAATGTGATTTTCCAATAATGTCCTTCCCTGTTAATACACATTTTCATTTCCAGAAGTATTCTTGTCACCGCTGATGAGGTAGCAACATTAAATACCATTGAATAAATAACAAAATACCATAACTGCTGCTTTGAAACCGTTTTTCTTTTCTTTTTCTTTTTTTTTTTATTTTAATTAAATTGGACTTCCATTTCTTACCTACACTTAAAATACTATTTATCATTTCAAATAATATATATATCAAACTTTTGTATTAATTTGAATAATAAAAATCAAATCAATGTTCATATAATCCGATCACCTCACCATCAAATTTTTTTTTCTAATCATTAATTTAATACCAATAAACATAATGGGGTTGATAAGGTTGCTCGTATCACCAACCACATCAAATTAGCATACTTCTACCACATTTATTGAAAAACAAAATTCGTATGGTGTTAGACGAACACGACTCTTTAAAATGGTATGATATTGTCCACTTCGAGCGAAAACTCTCATGGGTTTACTTTGGGCTTCCCCAAAATGTCTCATACCAAAGAAGAGAGTATTCCTTGATTATAAATACACGATCATTCCTTGAAATGTGAATGAGAGGATTTGGTTGAAGATTTGTGGATCCCTTTCCAGACGCCACCTATTCTATTCCCAATTTACCTTTTAATTTCTTCCCCCATTAATTAAACATATTTTAATTTTAATTTTGAATATTTTAACATCTACCGTTGGCGTTGTGAGTTTATGGTACCTTTTTGAAGACCATTAACGAATTCCCAAACAACCTTTGTCGACCACTTCAAAATGTTGGACTCTCCACTTTTTTTTTTTTTTTTTTTTTTTTATTTNAACATCTACCGTTGGCGTTGTGAGTTTATGGTACCTTTTTGAAGACCATTAACGAATTCCCAAACAACCTTTGTCGACCACTTCAAAATGTTGGACTCTCCATTTTTTTTTTTTTTTTTTTTTTTTTAATTTTAAATATTACATGCCCTCAACCTTTTTGACTACACGAAAGTAAAATAAAATATTTTTTAAAATAAAAAATAGAATAATTATATAATTAATGAGTTTTTGCAATTTGTCATTACCTAATATTTATGCCCAATTCAGTGAATTCTTTCCCTTTTAAAGACACCCTTGATTCTTGCGATGCGGTTGTTATTTTGGAGGTTTTGAAATTTGTGAAGACGCTGTCGTTTTCAATCCCATTTTTCATCCATAAAACACTCTTTTAATTATTAATTACTTTCTTATTTATCTAATTTTAAATATAGCATTTTAAAATTAACATTAAGTTTAACAAAATTTACTAATACACTTTAATTTTTTTTTAAATAGTATTAAAATCTTTCTTCATTATAAAAAAATGTTTAAAAAACTCTCCGATTCAATTTATTTATATTTCATAGATTATCTTTAAAATTTTTAATATTAATTTGGAAAGTTTATGAGTATTTTTTAATACACCATTTTAATTAAAAAAATTGAAACGGGGTATTTTTGGAAATTGTTAAATGTTTTAATTATTAAGTTATTTTTTAGAAAAATACAAAATTTAAAACTACTCTACTTATTTAGCCTTTTAAATACGTTTCATTATGCGGCGTTTTATGGTAGCCATCATGTCGTGCCACATTTACAGAATCCGGTTTTTGAAATCGAAACGGTGCCGTTTCAATGTTCAGCAGGAAACCGCCTACGAATTATTTTAATTCGCAAACGGAAAAGAAATTAAAAAAATGGATTTTTTAATCTGAAATTATAATTAGGTAATTATTTAAAATCCGGTTTCAGCAATCCATATTTCAAATCGAAACGGTGCCGTTTCAATGTTCAGCAGGAAAAGAAATGGAATTTTTAATCTGAAATTATAATTAACTAAATAAGAGGGACCGGTGGAAAATTACTGATTGCTCTATAGTACAAAATTAGGCCCCGCCCTTCTAAAATATTAAAAAAAAAAAAAAAAAAAAAAAAAAAAAAAAAAAAAAAAAAAAAAAAAAAAAAAAAAAAAAAAAAAAAAAAAAAAAAAAAGGCACCGCCACCCTGTACACAAAAGGACAANAAAGCCCCGCCGCGCAGCGACGCGCCGATACGGCGGCCATGGTTACAAGATAATTAAACCAAAAAATAAAAACATTGCCTTTCGTTGTTTCTTTTCCTTTTCTTTATTCTCTCCCTTTACTTTCACGTCTCTCCGACTGAAATTACGAGAAGCCGCCGACGTTAAGAAACGGCTACCGTCACTGTCATTTCTCGTTTTAATTTAAAATTTTGTTTTTGTTTTTGTTTTTTCCATTTTTTTTTTAACTTTCGTCCATCATATCAACAACCCCATCGGCCCCACCGTCACCGTTGTCATCAAGCCAACGTTCCACAGGAACGCAATCCATCTTGTGGCGGAGTTTCCAATCCAATGCTTGACACGCACGTGAGCAGTAGTTAACGGCACCACAAACGGAACATCGACGAAACTCATGCCGTCTTGTCTCTGGTCGTCCACACCCCACGTGCGAACATAGTCTCAGACCATCCCCCGGCGACCCCCCACGTGCCGCGAACCATTCCGCCAAAAACTGACTCGCTGGATGAGCCTCTGGCGCCGGAATATTACAACCAAAATCGCTTAACAACGGACATGCCGAGCCCGTCACGTGCCGGTGATGAGGGTGAGGATTCCACGTCAGGAACGTACGCGATGCGGTAACGGAAGAACCCGCCTCCGACGAAAGCACGGCGGCGAGTTCACGCGCGTTAGCCTGAACAAGAAACCGACGACCCTCCGTTATGTTCTGACGAACACCGTAACCGTCTTGTAGACAATGACCAAGTTCCCTAAGGGCATCGATGTGGCCGAGGAAAGCTGCACGTGCGCAAAGAGCAACTCCGGCACGGAGGATCTTGTCATTTTTGGAGCCACCACTGCCGTTAAACTGAATGACAGCGAGTGAGTAAAGCGCCGGCGCGTGGGAACAAATCGCCGCCTTGGCCATCAGAGAAGCCCCGCTTCCTCGGTTTTGCAAACAGTAGAAACGAATCTGTGTCACATATGAATAAATAAATCAATGCCCGAATTACTAATTGGTTTTAAAATACAGAAGAGAAAGGGAATGTTTATAACTTTCAGAATTGGATTAGAATAAATAAATTAAAAAAAAAAAAAAAAAACACCAACAACAAAATTAGAACTAACCATGCCGAGAGTATAACAGGCCTCGACGTTGCCGGCGTCGGCGCACTGTTTCAGAAACCGGTGAGCCGATTCCGTCCAGTTCCGAGCGCTAATTGCAAAAATCTTCAGTGAAGCTCTTGATAATACTATGGGATTAAGTCCTAAACTGTTTAATCTTTTGCATCTGAACCCAAAATTATTATCAAAAAATAAATAAAAAAATCCGTTAGATCCAAAAACATTTAACGAAATAAAAAAATAATAATAAATTAAAAAAGAACATACGTTAGCAAGATGTTGATGAACTCGGAGGAAGAGGAAGCGGCGGCGCCGAGTTTAGAGAGAATAGAAATGACGAGGTCGTCCGGCAAGGAATCAAACAAATCGGAAGTGGGTGTTTTGATGTCGGGAGAGAGCTTGTTCCTCTTCCTGCAAAAGTGGCGGTCGGCGGAGGCATCGTGTGTTCTTTTACGAACACGGTTGTCGGAAAAGAAGGCGGCATCAAGACGAGGATAACAGAGGCCTCTTCGAGTTCTCATGGAGGATTGTTGTTGTGGTGATATCCACGCCTCTCTCGCTTTTTCAATCGGTAAAACTTTAAAAGCAAATGGGAAACGTTATATAGTCTGGACCAAATTATAGGTCCCCTCTTCGAATATAAACCACAGCAAACTAAGACAATTGCTTAAGGATCCTAAAATATGATACCCAGCTGTCAGTAACATGGAATTTTTATGCTCTTTATTTATATTTCTCTTTTCCTTTTTCCTTTTATTTATTTCTAAATAATTCTGTAAAATCTAATAATTGTTATTTTGCTGCTTTTTTTTTTCAAATTAAAATTTATTAATTAAAAAAACGAATGAGTCAACCTACCGATAATAGTTAGATGAGTCGATATTATTTTAAAAGAATAGAAAAATCTCTTCTCTAGACGCATTTTAAAATTTTGTACGGAAAGCTCTTAGAGTAAAAGCACAACGAAGATAACTTCGGCCGTTTTTATTGTAAAACGAAATTTATTTTTAATTTTCCTTTAATTTTAATTCCCTTTTTTATCTATTAGTGGAATTGAAAATTTTTCTTAGCGTCATTATCAACTATTTAAGAATTTGGATAATTGTCAATTAAATATTTTCCCATTTATATAAATAGCGTAATTTCTCAAAATTATTTTCTAATTAATATTAAAAAAAATAGTCTAAATTTAATTACTTTTTACCAAGAAACTCAAGGATATTTTGCATTATAAATTTCTACCAATTATCCTAAGGAGTCGTTGTAAAAAATAAATTTTAAATTAGGAAATGAATCTGAAAAAAAAATCAGTTCCAAATTAGGAAATAAATAAAATAAACGACGTTTCACAGTGAATACTGTCTCACCGTTCTTAGCATGTAGCTTTCCGCAGTGAGGTCACCGTAACATTAGAAAAACAAAAAATGTTGTTAGGGTGAAGTAGTAATAAGATCAAAAATAAGTAATAAAATCCGGGGAAATGACGTGGATCCGTTGAAGTGATATTGACCAATTACGTAACACCAAGTGGAGCCCACCTGTCCCCCTCGTGGCTGCTTCTCGAAGTAGAGTAAGTTTTTTCCTTTTTTTTAGCAGTACTGGAGGGCGCTGGAAATGGGTATTAATCCGTAGGGTCCCACATCGAAAAGAGGCCGTGTTGGAGTTGCCAACCATTTAACGCCGTAGATGTCTCCCGAAATCAACGTACCTGATTTCAAGATCTTGTACCATCCAAGCTTTTGATTAATCAAAAATCCTCCCTATGGCTGCTACTTTGATTGGACGTTAAACGTAAAACGTAAAACGTAAAACGCTGCGTTTGATGGGACATTTAGGGCAACAAGCATATCTAATCCTTTTTATTTTCTGATCATTTCCAAAAATATTATTATTATTTTATTTAAATTCAGTCGCTTTCTTTCCCGTCTAAAGGAGATTTTCCAGAGATCGTGCTTTTAGTGTTTGGGTTATCCGAGGGGATGGCTTCTGGTGTTTGTTCAATGACTTTGTTCTAATAAATCTTAATTTTATATAATTAAATTACACACGTGGCGCTTGGATGAGGAGAGATTTTATTTCAAGGGATTGGATTGGATTAGGACATCAACTAACTGACACGTGGCGTAAGACTGTGCATCCAAAGCTAATCCATTCTCCATCTCGAAGCAAAGCTCAACACAGCTTCCTCCACTGATACCTTCTCCTCCTCGCTCATAAAGATAACAAGGATAAATTATTTTTATTTTTATTTTTAATTTAGCCTTTTGCTTTTCTGTCGGACAAAGTATTGCCAGTTTTCCCTTGGTCTACTTCCGTGCACGTATTTATCTGTCCCTCGTAACATTGACCTTTGTACTGTCGCTTGCATTTCATAAATTCCAACGGATCTCTTATTTATTTCCTTTTTTAACTTTAGGAACACGAAAAATATATTCAATGCGGTAAAGAAGAGAAGGAAAGGGTAAAAAACAAAGAGGTAATTAATTATTTATGGGAGATAAGGATTGAATTTTACTCCATATTAAATACCACAGGCCAAGCAAAGGCAAGTACTTGGACACGTAAAAGGTAAAAAAAGAAAGGACTGTGAAGGGTGTCACGTGATAACTTTGTCCCGCAAATTTGTATGGTAAAGTAAGCAACAAGACTCACTCACACGCTAACCACTGTACGACTGGGTGTGGGGGATCCCAATTCCCGTAGCCCTAAACCCACTCCTTTTGGTTGCCTTTTTTGGCTTCCCCCAGATTTTGAGTGAATTACAAGGGTCCTCCAAATAATATCACAGTCGTTGTCGTCGTTGTCGTCGTCGTCGTTTCGTGTACTCCGATCGAGAAACGCCCCACTGAAACCACGACACTCTGTACGACATGTCGTAACTGTATGTATTATTTACGTTAAATTTTGGGCGTTTTGTTTTCTTAAGCCAACTGGGATTATTTGTTTTGTAATGATGTGATTGAGAATAAGATGATGGGATGGGACGGGATGGGATGGGATGGGATATCATGCAATCCACATGCATGGGCGGGGGGAGACTCAGATCGCCGTTGAATCCTTTGACTATTTTTATTTTTAATTTCTATTATTATTATTATTATTTTGTGGGGGACAGTTTTTTATTTTTGTTGAAAGAGGGCAGTTACGTGGGGTCNAGTTTGTTAGGCGGGTAACGGACAGCTCAGCTTCATTGTTCCCTATTTCTCTGATCAATGATACTTACACGTGGCAGCATCATAGCGACGCCCGCTTGATTAATGGCGAAATATTTTGTAGCCACGCTATCAAACCAACGGTGGAGATGTATGAACTGTCCATCAACCTCTTTACTCTCGGTTGCCGGGATTTTTGGGTAATTATCGTTTCAAATATAAATTTTTTAAAAAGAAATTTAATTATTTGTGGAAACAAAAAAAAAAAAAAAAAAAAAAAAAAAAAAAAAAAAAAAAAAAAAAAAAAAAAAAAAAAAAAAAAAAAAAAAAAAAAAAAAAAAAAAAAAAAAAAAAAAAAAAAAAAAAAAAAAAAAAAAAAAAAAAATGGAATATATGGTAGATTTCTAGTTGATAAGAATGGTCTCCTTGACAGGTAAGTTTAGGGTTCCCAGTTTGAACGTGTTTCTTTCTTCTAGACAAAAATTGAATAAAAGTTAGAAAGAGACTACCTATGTTGATTTTTCCCATCTTCTTTCCACAAATAAATTTGGATTTTAAAAAGTGGGTTGAATTTTATGTCCATTTCTTTTTTAATTTTGGGTTTTATTTATCCGTAATATTAATAATTTTTTTTAATCAATTCGACGACTTAATCATAAAAACTTTTACCATAAATATCCCACTACTCGGTGGGTGAGAGGGGTTGTGGGAATTTAATTTGTGCGTCGAAATCGAAACAAAGAAGAAACGAGGAAGCAAGCAAACTAATGGAGTACCTTAAAAGGTTGTCTGATTTGCAGCTAATAATAATAATAATAATAATAATAATAATAATAATAATAATAAAACTTAGATTTTTAGTTAACCTCACATTCTTCATTCCTATTTTATTGGGATTCATAAAAAAAATAAAAAAATTAAAAAAACTTGAGAAAAACGAAAAGAACCATTTGGGGGTAATTAATAATTAAAAACCCAAATTAATTAGAGAATTTGATGGAGCAACGGCGTCGGAGGATGTTGCTTAACGTAATAGCCAACAGCTTATTAAGCTTTGCTTTAGAGTGCCCAATGTCCGAAATCTAATCACGAGCCGCACGTGATCCCCATCCCACGCTTGTCTCTGTTCTAAGAACTATATAAAATATGCATACTTGTTTAAATTGTGTCTAAATTAATTCTTGTTTTTACAAAAAAAAAAAAAAAAAAAAAAAAAAAAAAAAAAAAAAAACATNGCTTTAACGTAACAAGCAATGGTTCTCCATGGCCCGTGCCTATCATTGATTATTAATCAAGAATGTAAATAACCAACTCTATCAATTTGTTTTAATTTAAAAAATGTTTCTTCACATTTTTTTTTAGTTTGAGATGAGTTTAGTCAGTTCGTGAATTTACATTTTTTTTACGAATCAACCAAAAAAATAAGGTTGCAATCCAACTCTACCCTACTCTACTCTTAAAAGTATTATGAAAATTAATAATATTTTACGTATGTATTTATTATTAGTAAGTAATTTTTTTAAAAATAAAAAACTCAAAAATAGAAAACGAATTGACGGATAAACCTTGATATTTTGCAACTGAGGTGGAGAATTAACGTGGAACTGACGGGAGACGTTGATATAACATCCACGTGTTGATTGCACGTGACATGGGAACTGAGTCGTTGACTGAATGTTTGACCGAGAGTATTATTGGTCACGTGATGAAGGAGTGACAAATGAAAATAGCAGGCCACCTTCCTCTCACGCGCCTTTTTTTTTTTTTTTTTTTTTTTTTTTTTTTTCTTATTTNTTGTTTAATAATTTAATTTGTTAAGTAATTTTCTCTTTACATATAAAGCTAAAATTCACAAAATAATTTTTCTAAATGGTCACCGTCGGAAACAATTATCTAAAAACAATTTAAAATGACAGAAACATCCCTAGAACGAAGGGCATTTATGGAAATTCAAAGTAAAAAGAGGTTCATCACCGGTTGGCCGTGCAAGCAAGGGGGAAAAACTGAAGGGTTGCTTGATGCCTCCCAGTTCATAGACAAGAACAAGTTTGGGGTTTACGTGCATGGTAAGTGAACCCATTCCAACTCCATAACCCTGTATCTCACCCAATTATCTTCACCCACCTGTCTGCCTTGTCACCCAATAGCACACGTAGAGCCAATCATATGTGGACACGTCGATGCCTGGGTTTACAAGAATGACGAGAAATTCACCACTTTGTGGAGGGCATAAACAATAATGGGGTGTACGAGTTTTGTTGCTTAACGCATTTGGCAGCTTGGGAAATGGAAACGGAGGCAATAACGGGAAATGGCATAGGGCGGCCTCGTAAGCCGTGCAGAGCACAAAGGGCTGCCCCATCCATCTCTATTTCTGACCCCATTCGTACCACGTTTGAGTCTCTTTTAAATCATATCATATTCATATTTGTTTAGGACGTATTGTCTATGGTTGTATCCCCGTTTTAAATTACTTTTACATCC